TATCTCAAGCAGAAATCTTCTTATCTTTAAACATCAAGTGAAATAAAATCGCTCATGGTGTGGAAATGTGTAGAAAGAAGCTAAAGAAGCTGTTCAAACATAGAAAAAGTTTAGCTGTTATATGGGTTCCAGCACACCTAGGCATAAATGGGAATGAACTCGCAAACAGGCAAGTAACAGCCTGGTATCAATTTAAAGATATTTGTGAACCTCTTGCATCTTATAGAATTTCTAAAGGCGCTAGGGTTATACGGTAAAGTGTAATAAGTACCGAGAACACATGAGATCGCTGTGCAGAACTTGCTTTTACGGAATGATCTTGGTTTGCGTGCCCTTGCAAAGACGCTGTAAAATCTTAAAACAGGCTAATTTTAGTGTGCTCTTCAAAAACGAAGCCGGGAGCGCCATGATTAATGCCTGAATTGGAGGATATTAATACCTAAAACCTTTGGTTCCAACAAGATGGCGCTACATGTCATGCAGCCAACGAAACTTTTGGTGAGCATATTATGCCGCGTCGCATGGGTCTGTGGCCTTGACTTTAAAAACGAGCGATTTAACACCGCTACGCAGATCCTCTGGAAGAGAATACTCGGCGCTTTATTGCTGTGGGCGGGCATACAAATTGTTCGTTCACATTTATTAATTTGAAAATGAAATAATTTCTCAATTTCTTTGTTTCATGTAAAAAAATAAAATAAATAAAAATATAAATAAAATAAATAAAAAAATAAATAAAATAAATAAAAAAATAAATAAAATAAATAAAAAATAATATAATTATTTATGCAAAAAAAAATGTAATAAAATACTTACTTTAGACAAGGAAAAAACAAAATAAAGCAATCAACGAATTCCTCTTAAAAGTTGTAAAAAAATGTACTTAACTCTACTTGCTAGGAAAGACCCGCCCCTCGTAACTGGTTGTGCGGAAAGTGGAGGAAAATTATAAAAGATGAAAACTCTAAAACATATCTCTTTTTTTCAAGATGAATTGGATTTTGGTTAAAAATAGTTGAGTACATGTTTTTAAATGGAAAGAAACTAAATGCATATTTCCTACTAAATGTGAATTATTTGTTTTGAGTCACGTCACGTATTCGTTCTTTAGTTACGTATGAACACAAGCCAATCAATAGCTTTTAATTTTCTTTAGTTCATCTACTTCGGTCTATTTGCATAGAAGCATTTTTATAGCATCTTTATATTGTATATGTATGTATATTTTTTTATGTACTTGTGTAATAAAACAGATATATATGCCGGTGCCATCAACATCCAAAAGTTATGCAAAATCATTGGGTTGCTCATCACCATAAACATTTCGTAACTTTTTAGCAACCTGCTCCGCGTTTTTTCCTTTACGGAAATAATAAAGTAAAATATGACGAAAATGCTCCTTTGTGGGCTCCATATTAAAATTGACGCCAAACAAATAAATGTAAACAAAATTTCGCGCACTTTTTTCTAAAGCAAGCTAAAATTAACAGCTGATAACTGACAGAAGAAAGAATGCAATTACAGAGTCACAAGCCGTTGAAAAAATTTGTCAACGCCGACTATATGAAAAATCCGCAATTACTTTTTGGGCAACCCAATAATTAAATGAAAATCAGAAAAAAAAAGCATTAAACTTAGATGTTTGATTTTGAATCCGTAACTGATCCCTCACATACTTGGTAGGCTATTTAAGAGTAAAATCATCGCTCTATTTTCTTTCTTGGCTACCAATGTTTATAGATAGAAAAACATCAGAAAAAATTTATAAAAAATATGTGCGCATCTACATATAATCGACTTCTCTTAAAGGGAACAATTTTTGTGGTAACTTTTGAAATTTCGAGTATAAACAGTAACGAAGTTCCCATCGTATTAAGCTAAGAGAATTTAAATTCAACGAAGTTGTGGCGCGTATACTTTCTTTTTTTTTGGTATCGTAGTATTTTTGTTTCCTGTGTTCCCTGAAACTACCTGGTAGATTATACTGAAGAATTGTCACTTTGTTTCTATGGTTGTTGGAAAGGTTTGTACAAAACTTATTTTAGGGGAGGGAACCCCTGGTTGACCTTTTAAAAAAATCGTACTTATCGTTCGATTTACTTGACCTCCGGTACATATATAAGTGGAATTTTTAATTAGATTAACAGGAAGACTATACGCTACTCGCCGGTATCTGGACCAGAGACCGACTTATTCAAAACAACCATCTTTATCGGCACATATGTGACTTTTTGCTCATATTAATAGAAATACTACGTTACCCTCCGGTATCTGGACCAGAGGCCGACCTATTCGAAACAACCATATTTATCGGTACACATTGACTTTTTACTCAGATTAAAATGAATATTACTATTCTCTCTGACTGGCCTCTTCAAAAAAAAAAGGGAATTAATGGAAAAGTGTATTTATAGTAAGTTTTACTTAAAATTATTTTTTACGGGAAGTGGATGGATCGATTTGGAAAAAAATTCATATTCGTAAAAATTTTGGATCCAAAAGAATGCCTAAATGGAACACTTTTACTTCCTAGTAATGAACTAGGGAGCCAGAACCAGGTTAGAATTGCTCGAATAATAAATCTTATATTCTTTAAGGGCAATTCATCACCGACATATTGCCAAAAATTAATATGATTTAGAAGTAAGCATAGCTCGTGCATCGGTATGTTAACTTCGAAATATTATTATTCTTCTGCTGCGGCTGGGGGTTACAAACAAATCTTATACCTTTAACACGGGTGTGAATGAGTATAGAACCATTGTGTTTGTGTGTTTGACTTACTTCGAGGATTCATATTGACATTTCCGTGTAAGACTTTAAGCAGCGAAGAAGTTACACAATTATATAATAGAAAAAAATTTGGATAATTCAAAAGAAGTATAAAATTATATGATTCTTAATAAGGGCTTTCATCGTTACTTGCAATAAAAATTAGCATAAACTAAATAAATTACGGTAGTTTCTCTCATTATAAAATTGATAGAAAAAATTGTTTGACATTAAAACTTATTTTCACTTTAGCTCCAAGATATTGCCTGAAATTCTTGTTATTTCCATTAAATTTCAGAAAAAAATTTTAATATTTTATCATTACTTTAATTAATTAATTAATAATTTTTTTTTTGACAATGAAAACTTTCATATTTTTATTAATATAATTTTGAAGTTTTTGAAAGTTGAAGAATATTTTTTTAATAAATGAAATTGGCAGCATATAAATAAAGCATGAATCAAAAAGTCCTTTTATGTCAGTTAGTTAATGAAAAAAGAAGTTCAGTGAAACTACCAAGGCGAATTCACACACGGTAGTAGCAAGAACAGAAAAAAAAAGCATATATGTATTTTGTTTGTGTAATCATAGTTTCGAAAAGTCAAAACCTATTTCCCAGGTATCTCGTATGTGTAATTTGTTGAAATGGAAGGAAGAACAAGCAATCATATGATGTGACAACTTCACCTTCTATAAATTCGCCTTGGAAACTATGTTGTTGTTTTTTTTTATCATGTGGGCGCAGTAGCCGAGTGGTTAGCATTGCGTACGCGATTCGGAAGACGGGTTCAACTCCCTGTGCGACCAACATCCAAATGTTACAAAAAAATTAATTTAAATAAAAAATAAATTAAATTTTCTAATTGCAGTCGCCCTTCAGCGGTGAATGCCAACCCCTCCGGGAGTATTTCTGATAATGAAATAAAAGCCACGCATTAAAAACTATCGGGCGTTTGGGGGTGGCGCTTCATTTGAGGGATTAGTTCGGCCGAAAATTGCTTCAGCGGCTATAAAAGAATTAAATTCTTTTATCGTGTTACATGGCAAAGCAAACAGCAATTTCTTAGTTTGCCTTGCCTTTCACCTTGCGAAAACCCTTTTCTAACAAATATTTTTCTTTTTTATTTAAGTAATTAAATATCAGTATATATGTATGTATTATGTATAGTAACATGAACATAAGGCATTTTGATTTATTTATGTTTGTACGTATATTTAACTTAGTAGATATATTATACTCATAGCATTAAGCATTTTTGTAGTTATGTTTTTTCTTGTTACGACACCACATTTATATTGTTAATAATCACTGCAGTTATTGTTCAACGACGTTACTGTCATAATTATTGTATGACCACCGTCTTTACCGTCATCAACACATGCCAAAAAAAAAAAAAATAAATAAATAATAATAATAAATAATAACAACACTGCAGCTGAGCAACAAAGTTCACTTTTGAATGTACTGTAGGTATTATATATGTATATATGTACATGTACAAATCATTTCTTTACACACATTTATTTGTATTTATGTAGGTATGCATATACCTTTATATGTATGTATATTTTTTTATGTACTTGTGTAATAAAACAGATATCCAGCTACTTGACATTTCTACAGGCCATAATTCATAGTTTATATTTGTACCACTTGATATTGTCATATTTCGCGAAATATTATTGTGCACACGTATGTATATATGTATGTACATATGTTGCCAACGATAAACACACACACACACACACTTACATAAGGCTATATATACAGAAATAGATATGGGCAAACGTCTGGCAAACACTTTAGTTATAGATATTATAACCGCTGATTACGCCAACCCTCACGTGAACTCTATTAAGAAATTGTGTAAAGAAATTAAATACTTCAACATACACTGCATTAACACCAAATTGCTTGCAAATATTTTCCAATTTTGCATAGCTCACTTTCAAGACGTCACCCAAAAATCGAATTCGTAGCGCAAATTATTGAGTATGACAAATGAACAGTTTTTGTTTTCGTTTTTTTTTATGGTGTTATTTTTTTTTTATTTTTTTTTATTTTTTTGTTTTATTTTTTTTTTTTTTTGCAACACTTCACATTATTCATATTATATATGTATGTATGTTCTTTAATTGCTTGTACAAGTTATTCTATATTTATACATACATCTATAGTATGTATGTATGTATGTATGTATGCATGTTTTTACTTTTTACTTTTTACCTTAGTGATTTTGTATGGTATAACTTGTGGTATGCGCGGTTTATGCGATTTTCATATATATATATGCACAAAATTGTAGACACTATTTTTTTTTTTAATTTAATTTTTATTGTTAAGAAATACTCGAAAACCGTTATTTACTTTAACTTATACTAAATATATTTGTGCGTAAAATAATCTAAAAAAGTTAGCAAATTTCGTACACTGTCTGATTTTTCTTTAGTTGAGAAAAAAAAAAGCTCTGGAATAAATAAGTTTGTGGCTGCCGTCGCGACGCGAGTACGTGTGGTACGTGTACCGGGTATGAGTACGTGTAGTCTTCTGAGTAGGTCTGTTGCTCTTCAACAATTCGTATGCGCCCGCATACACAATGAAATTTCGCATTAATTGAAAGTAGCAAAGTTGTAGCTAAAGCTATAGCTCTATAGTTGTTCGACAACAAAATACAGGCATTGCCGTCATTATGCTCTCTCCTTGCGGTTGACATCAGCAAGTTAGTCTGCCAGCCATCCGACCAGCCATTCAAGTAGTAGCGCTCGAAGTTAGCTATAGCTGTATAGCTGTTAGCGAGCTATATACAGAGACAACAACGTCAAGATTGCGATCAAACGAAGAAGCGGCTGAGATAGTGCGATTGTGTGTATGAGTATGTAGTGTTGTCGAGGCACGCACAGTGTTCATTAAGCAACAATATTATATGAAAAAAAAATTACAATAATATTTAGAAGGTAAATATAAGGAAACATTTACACTCGTTTAGATATATATATTCGGGTGGCCAGGGTTCTAGTGCTAGTTTGATCAACATTCAAAATTATAGAAAATTAATTTTTCTAATTGCGAACGCGCCTCGGCAGGGACTCTGTTCGTATAATTATAAACTTTGCTTGCATAACTTTGCTTCCGCCGTTTTCCGATAGGTGGCTGTACCGGCTGAGACTGGTTGAAATACATAGATGATAATGCCTTTAAAGTAAGTGTGGTCAGTGCCCAACGAATTTTCATCGCCGTTTCACTGACAGTTGTTTTTTTTTTCGTATTATTCACGTTCGAAAATGTCCGTTTATGTGCCTAATTCTCGCCATTTGCGTGAAGTTTTACTTTTCTGTTACAATTGGAAAAAAAATGCAGCTGAAGCGCATCGAATGCTCTCAAAAACTTACGGTGATGATGCTCTGAGTGAAAGAACGTATCGGCAGTGGTTTCAACGTTTTAAAAATGGTGATTTCGATGTCGAAGACAAACATGGCCTTTTACTACGAGCTCTTAGAACCGGGTGAAACCATCACAGGAGATCGCTACCGAACGCAACTGATGCGCCTTCGTCGCGCGCTAAAAGAAAAGGGGCCACAATATCAAGAGCGACATGACAAAGTAATCCTCCAACACGACAATGCTCGGCCTCACGTCGCAAAAGTGGTCAAATAGTACCTGGTAACGCTGAAATGGGAAGTCTTTCCCCACCCGCCGTATTCCCAGATGTCGCTCCTTCTGACTACCACCTATTCCGTTAGATGGCACACGGCCTGGCAGATAAATATTTTCAATCCTTCGAAGAATTGGAAAAATGGCTTGCTTCATGGATAACGTCAAAAGAGGACTCCTTTTTTCGAGCCGGGATCCGAAAATTGGCGGAAAGATGGGAGAAAGTTGTCGCTAGCGAAGGACAATACTTTGAATAGTATATCTGTAAGCACTTCTTCGCAATAAAGCTTTTAATTTTGGAAAAAAACGAAGCAAAGTTGTACACCGATATATACATACGTATGCATATATATAAGCGGAAGATTAAGAGATCGAATCCTGAAACCAGGACAAACAACCAAAATTATGGAAAATTAATTTTAAAAAATTTTAATTTCACTCGCATTTCAGTACAGAATGTCAACCTCTAAGAGTGTATTTCTCCTAGATCCTTCCAGTTTTTGAGAAACCGTCCGGAAGAACAAAAGAAAAAAGACAGAGGAGATAAATCAGAAATCGCTTCAGCAGTTATAAAGAGCCAGGTCTCCTCAAATCTTAATTTGAATTATTTGAATACGATAATAGACGATTAGTTTTTCGGCGCAAGAGTAAACACCGTGACCGTGCGAAATTCATTGAATAATCCCTTTTAATCTCTAATGCTCGTTTTGTAATCAAGTGAACAGCCCTACCTTATAATTAGCTAAATCGTTTTAGGAAGGTAAGCCGAACTTTAACTACAACTTTCCCGAATTGATCGGTGTCAGGTTCACGACTCGAAAAGAATCTTAAACTCAACGTTAAAAAGGATTTTAAGAACCATATTCTGCATTCCGATAGGCTATAAATTTCAAGTGCATCGAAACATAAATAAGATTTCTTTGAATAGATTGGTTCCTCATACATTTCCAGAAAACAAAAGTGGTATTCTTGCTAACCTAAGCAAAAGGCTTCAAATTTTAAGTAAAAAGAATAATATGTACGATCTCTTTGAAGAGGTCGACCATGGTGCTATTTCCAGAGAGCTAAATAGAGTTCCTGCTAATTTAATCAAAAGTCTACCTGTGTTCTAGACTTGTATCAAGACCCTAATTCATTTTCAGCGTGAGAAATAGAAATTAGGCGATTCTTATACTTACCCGATATTCATACAAAATTTCATAAAAATCGGTCTAGCCGTTTCGGAGAAATTTGATTACACGACAAGTTTTCTATTAGATAACGCTTCAGAAAAATCTCACTTGTAAGTTGGTTGGTTAGTTGGTTGAAGTGGCTGCCGGGCATCGGCACAACTAGGCCTCAAACGGGCCTATTGTGATACCACTGGGAATCCCAGAAGACCCCCACCCGCTAATCGAACCAGTGCGTGGAGTTTGCAAGACTAAGCAGTTGTCCCATCTTAGCACCCGCTATCTCGTTCAGGTCTCCTCCAAAGTGCGGGCACTCTCAAAGAAAGTTCTCTTAAACCTCTTTAGTTTGACACCAAAGTCATAATTATGTATACATACAGACAAGCATTTCCAACCAAGTGGACGCCTTTTATTCTTATTTTAGTTTTTATACTGGTTTAATTACAGCGATATTCCACTCAAAGTTTGCGTTAACCACTTTACACTGAGATGCGAACCACAATAGTGGTTTATATACGAAAAATTGGCGCTTTGTGACCGCAGCAGTGATTTCCAGACGAGCTCTTCTCCAACTTGTTTTAAAAGTTTAGTTAGTTCTAAGCCGCCTCCAAACTGCCGATGATAAGCTTTTTATTTCATGTCAGAAATATACTACGGCAGCTTGAAACTCCCTGCCAAGCGGCGGACACTACTAAAAATATTGATTTTCTATAAGTTTGGATGTTGGTCGGACCAGCACTCCAGCCTTGGTTTATTAAGCTGTCTGCATTCAGTAGGCGTTGAGAGATGTTTTGGTTTTATATTTCCTTTGTTTTAGAAGCAAGTGTCTGTTGTGTTCTTCCATATTCTGCACTGTAACCGGTTTTCGGTCACCGATTCACTGGGGTTGTTTCCCTTAATCCCTTAGAGGCGAGGCGGTCGGTTGAGTGGAAGGTAGATCAGACTTTGTTTGTTGAAGAAAAATATTCAAATCGATTCAGTCTTCACTACGGTGACTACGTATTTAAAAGTAGTTATATATTGGCTGTACCAATATCGTTGTGGTTGATCACATTAGGAATATAACCCAATTTTTACACCGGGTGAGAATAATTTTAACTAAATTAGTTAGAAGTGTTCGAAATAGCCCATTCCTACTTGGCGGACTTAACTCATCTAGGCACTTTAGACTCCTTTCATGGTGTTCATGCAAAACAAACTTTGAAATACACGACACTTTTAATACTCATTTCGCCAACATTGATTCCTCCGACTCTCTTTTCTGTATCAAAAACCTACTATCTACCTACTAAGAATGATTAATTAATATTCTTTTCCTTTTACCATATAATTTATGGCAGCTGTTGGATAACTTTGTAGGTGTTTAGTGTAGGAGGCAGCGACCTTTCGCGATCGGTCATGGGTTCATAGCAGTCCGGACTGTTACTGCCGTTTGGTCGCCATTTTTATTTTCTCTTCATTTTATCACACTCACCACGAGAAAGAATGGTTGGCCTTGAGTGGTACAGGAAGGTTTGAATCGCGGTCATACCCCGGCACGTACTGTCCGCCTCTTCGAGTATATTTCTGACATGAAATAGAAAGCTTCTCACAAAATAACAATGAACCATCCAAAGTCGTATCTGTCAAAAAATCTTCAGTTGGGTAAAGACGCTTCAGTGGTTATAAAGCTCCAATTACTTGCATATATATGTCTATACTTCTTCAAGGCAAACAATAATTTTATATACCGGTTTGCTCTCCCCTACGTCAGCAGTATTTGTAACGACTTCCTCCATGATTTCCTCAGCTATAAAATTTGATAATAAAAAGTAGCTCTTTTACCCACCGTGCATTCACCACAACGAAAGAGCCAAAAAGTAATGATCACAATTTATTTGTAGCACAACAACTGCGCTAGCAGAATGAAAAATATATACAAACAAATTATAAATTTTCATTAGAAACCTTGTTCTTTTTTCTTAAGTTTGGTTCATTGTAATCATAAGTATTTTGCTTATATTTGTTCATTTAGCGGACGTTTAAATGCACTACACACACACACATGTATGTACGTGTACTAACACAAAACTAAATCAATAAAGAATTATAAATGCTCTGCCTTAAATTGAGCACTAAATTGGCAGCTAGCAGCGCTGCGCCGCCGTCTTCTCGATTGTATAAGCTCACTACTGAGTTGTCGTAGACGGATTTGTGGTGAGAAACAGCGGGCGCCAACTGTTGTGGGTCGCTTTTAGATTAGCTTTCACGCTACCTGTGTGTGAGAAGTGTGAGATACTAGGCATAAGTAGAGTAAGGGTAAATATTTGGCGGATCTTCAAGATAAGTGTACACATTTTTATTGTGTGCTTGCTATTGAGCGTGTAGGCGTGAGAAGCTACAAGCTACATAGGTGTGTATTCTCTTAGCTCTCTTAAAAGCTCATTGTTTTCACCGGCATTCGAAGTCTCTGGGTTGGGCTGCGTATTTATGTGCAAAAATTCCCCGCCTCGTTGCAGTGTAGTTTATGGAGCTAAATACTTCTAAAGAGGTTTGTTAGACATTTCCGAGAAATTTGGTAAATCAAACTTAAAAAAAGTTTTATTCTCTGCAACAACGTGCCATTCACTTCTTCTTAAGCTGTTTAGTGCCAATTGGAAATACGAAGTACAGCTAGGTACTTATCACTCTGGTATTTCCAACGAACTGGAGGTCTGCTCCCACAGTTGGATACTGCATCGTAAGCTGGAGTATTCTTATCCATGCGGACTCATAACCTGGTCAGCGTAGTAATTTGATTCGTTGAATTATGCCAATATCGCCGTATAACTGATACAGCTCATCGTTCCATGGGCTGCGGTATTTGCCATTCCTAATGTGCAGAAGACCACAAATCTTACGCAAATCTTTCTCTCGAAAACTCTAACGCCGACTCATTAGATGATGTCATCGTCCAAGCCATTGCACTATATATCAAGGATGAGCGCCTTGTACAGTTTGGTCTTTGTTCGTCGGGAGGGACTTCAATTGCATACTCAGTCCAAAGTAGTACCTGTTGGGGTCAAAAAAAGTTATCCACGACCAAGCCGTAAGTGCGGCGTCTGTTTGTTTGATGGCAGGAGATATTTAGTGTTGCCATTGCACTACCTGACTCATACGCTTCGCTTGATTATCCGGTCTGGAGAAAGCAGAACTCACGGTGTGATTGTTCAGGCCAATGATGTCAATATCATCGGCGAACACCAACAGCTATACGCTCCTATAGGCGATGATACCCTTTCTAATCAGCTCTTCAGCTAAAGAAGTCACACGAGGTCTGACGAAGCTTAAGGTGTGCTTAACGTCATTTTACATAGCCGTCTAAATTTTGGAAGGATACCATAATGAGACACAGCGGCATAGGGGCATTTCATTCACGTGTTGTCGAAGGCTACTTTCAAATCAACGAAGAGATGGTGTGAGTGTCGACCTTCTCAGCACATTTTCCAAAATTTTGCGCGTGATGAATATCTGGTTAACGGTGGTCTAAAGCACACTCTAAGGTTCAGTCAGTTTGTTGACGGTGCTTACACAATACGATCGATAGGACCTTATATACCTTATATGGGATGTTGGTGAGGCTTCTAAGGCGGTAATTAGTGCAAAATCTGGAGGCACGCTCTTTATGGATGTGGGACGAGCAATCCATCGGCACCGCAGGCAAATATTATCGCTTTGTTGGAAACTTCAAATTTCTTCATAATCGGGCAATGAAGCATCTGTTCCATCATCGTCATCGGTAGAGGAATCGGGTACCTGCTTGTATTCCATCTTCACTGCCATTCAGCAGGCTGGATAAATGTGCTCTCCATAAATTCTTGGCCTTAAGAGAGTTTTCTCGGGTCTTGAAAACAATAGATTCGCCGCATCTTTTCATAAAATTTCGACCAGCTTCTAAAGCTCTTGATAATGAAGCATCTCGGCTTCTGCCTGTACTTGCGACATGCTTCCCTCTTTAATCCTCGGAATATATCACATACCGCACTTGTAGTGGAGCTCCTCCATATATATTATGGTGTTTTTTCCTACAAGTAAAGGGACCAACAGTATATTCTAAGCAGACTCCGATCATCTGATGGGGTTTTCTGAGAGGCAAAATTCGATGTTAGTTTGACCAAAATTTCGAGCTCATAAGCCTCCTCGTGGTAGCGCATGTTTATTAAAACACCGCAGCATTCCATTTTTCATTAATAATTTGAAAATTTCAATTTCTTTTCTTTGTAATAAATTTGAAAAAGTAATATCATCAACTCTATGAAAGCTTCTTCATTTCTCACTGCTCCGATTTGTGCAAATATTTTCTTGAATAATCTTATCAATTTAATAAATTCAATTCATTGAAAAAATATGAACTTTGTTCAGCACTCTTACTTGCTAATAAATTCTTATCTCGTAGAAATTTAATTATATTTTAGAGAAATATTCATCATTTACATGATTATCTTCGATGTTCGTTTGGACAGACAATCCCTTATAATCCCTTTCATTTATTTTGATGTGCTCATTGAGGGCAAGACTCAGTGTATTTATAACGGATGGAAGTTGAAAGAGAGGCTTTGTTGTAGCAGTTAGGTAACCTCACTTAGAAGCAAGCAAATATTAGCGATATCGTCGAGATCATCTTGCCTTTTTTTATACTTCTTGTCTTACGAAGTAGACGATATGAAGATGACAAAGGAGTTTTCCTGCTTAATCCTCAAGTCGGGGATTTGACAGGATTGTAACTAATTTATATGCGACTCGCTCGTTTCTGTCTGGCCAACCGAGAGCCTTGTAAGCTGCTGGCAACGTTTCTTTTCACGGGTGTTATAGTGAAGGTCTGCATGCCTTCCAGAATAATTCTTTAGAGTACCAAAGTTTAACTTTGATACACAGATCGAGATGGTGTTCTTTTGTACAGAATAAGACGTACGTGGATTTCGCTGGAGATAGTTGAAAACAGGTAATCAATGTCATATTTGGAAGCCGCATAGTTTACGACAAATGATATTAAGGCGAATACCTCGGGTGGAGAAGGGAACTTTGAAAAATTAAGTAACGTAAGTTTGAAGTTTATACTTCGATTTTGGATGAGACCGTGGGGTACTGTGCACATTGCGAAAGGCGCGCTGATGCGCTACTATGCTGAGTTTTTACTGCTCCGCCCACAATAATCAATCCGATCGCAGCCTTGATTTACGGGTTTCATTCAGACTTGGAGCCAATGTAACATATTCGGTATGAGGGTGCGGCAGCAATTAGAATCAGGCTGAGAGCCAGTGGCCCTTTATTTTAGTGATTAGGTAGAAAGATAAAAAGCTCTAACATTACGTTAGTTTCAATGAACAATATCGACAATTTTAAAAACCACTGAAAATGCAATTTGAGAGAATGGACGTGAGATCAGAATGAGATATAATCTATATCAGTCATTTCAAAGTGTGCAATATCGAAGTTTACGCCGAATACTGCTTATCACTACGTTGGGTTTAACTTTCAGATTCCTTTACGTAAAACTGTAATTCAGCCATCTACTTAGTTATTCCCAAATTGGAATCTTCGTAACCAAATCGATCACATAGACGGAAAACTATGTTAGACGTACGTTCATTTCTATAACAATGAAACGAAGACTCGAACAAAAATATGGTTCCGCTTATTCCGCCTCAAAGTGGAGCACATCAATCAATGTAAAGAAGCTTTGCCATCATGACTTCTGCCTCTGCTTTGAGAGATTATAGTGGTATAGAGAGATCTGCTATCGATATCGCATTTAAGTCGACCAAAAACTAGATATATGTATATAGGTCCCTTATTCAGGGATAATTTCCACTAGGCAATACTGAATTTCCTACTGAAAGAGGTTGTGATCTGCTGTTAAATCTTTCATATAGAATGCTGGATAGTACCTTATATATTATATTAACGTGGGCTGTGTAATTTTACTCTTTTTCAGCATGATTTCTTACAGCCAAATCTTACACAACATCCTTATCAGTTTTTCTAGGCCTTTTACGATTAATACTCTTTAGTTTCTTCATGGTGATATGAAGGTACGTCCTCCAATCGTAATCGATTGAGCGAACTTCGGCGTCATTTCCAGTGAATCCTTTAGCGCTACAAGTAAGCAGTCTGATTAAGCGACCGTCACAGAAAATTGGGTTGCCCAAAAAGTAATTGCGGATTTTTTAAAAGAAAGTAAATGCATTTTTAATAAAACTTAGAATGAATTTTAATCAAATATATAATTGCCATTTTGTTCGATAACCTTTTTCCATCTTCCTGGCAAATTTGGTATTCCACGCTCATAGAATTTCCGGCCTTTATCTGCAAAAAACTGAACCAAGTGCGATTTTATAGCCTCATCATTGCCGAAAGTTTTACCATTTGAGGAGTTCTGCAAAGATCGAAATAAATGGTAGTCTGATGGTGCAAGGTCAGGGCTATATGGTGGATGCATCAAAAGTTCCCAGCCAAGCTCACTCAGTTTTTGGCGAGTGACCAAAGATGTGTGCGGTCTGGCGTTGTCCTGGTGGAATATGACACCTTTACGATTGAGCAATTCTGGTCGCTTCTCCTTGATGGCTGTATTCAATTTGTCCAATTGTTGACAGTAAACATCCGAATTAATCGTTTGGTTCCTTGAAAGCAGCTCAAAATATACGACACCCTTCCAATCCCACCAAATAGACAGCATAACCTTCTTTTGGTGGATATCAGCCTTTGAAGTGGTTTGAGCTGGTTCACCATGCTTGGACCATGATCGTTTTCGACTAACGTTGTTGTAAACAATCCATCATCTCCAGTTATGATTCGTTTTAAAAACGGATCGAATTCATTGCGTTTAAGGTGCATATCACAAGCGTTGATTCAGTGTGTTAAATGAATTTTTTTCAATAGATGTGGTACCCAAATATCAAGCTTTTTCACCAGTCCAAGACTTTTTATGTGATAATGAAAGGTTGATTTTGGTATATTTAACTTCTCTCCTATCTCACGCTCAGTTACATGACGATCCAATTCGATTAATGCTTTGATTTGGTTATCATCAACTTCATTTGGCCGACCTGAACGTGGCTCATCTTTAAGTGACAAATCTCCAGAACGGAATTCGCGAAACCAATTTTGACACTGTCTGCCTTTTAAGGCTTCATCACCATACACATCTCGTAACTTTTTAGCAACCTGCTCCGCGTTTTTTCCTTTACGGAAATAATAAAGTAAAATATAACGAAAATGCTGATTTGTGGGCTCCATATTAAAATTGACGCCAAACAAACAAATGTAAACAAAATTTCACTTTTTTTCTAAAGCAAGCTAAAAGTAACAGCTGAGAACTGACAGAAGAAAGAATGCAATTACAGATTCACAAGCCGTTGAAAAAAATTTGTCTACTCCGACTATATGAAAAATCCGCAATTACTTTTTGGGCAACCCAATAATTTTGAAGGCTAGTGTTTAAAATCGTTAGCCTATTTACAATCAACTTAAAACTGAAGACTTCTAAGATAAAATCGATTTAATATATATTTTTTTTTTTAAGTTTAATACTTAAGGCTAATTTTCTTACATGCAATAAAACAAAATAATTAGAAAAACAATTAAATGCAATAATAATTTGATTTTCACAGCTTTTTCCAGCCGATGACCTAGGGCTAGTGTTGTTACATTGTACTATTTCATGTATATTTCTATACATAAAATAACATCTGATTCTGATTCTGATTCACAGCCTTTTAAACAGATTCCAATAATAGTGCGATGCCTTGGCCACCGCCAATGCAAGCTGACCCGATGGTGTATTTCAAGTTCTTGCGTCTGCAAAGAAATAAGAGATTTCAAGAGTTCATTCCCCAATTAGTACCGTGAAGTATTTCGTTTACTTACTGCATCTCGTGCGCCAAATGACCAGTAATACGAGCACCGCTGGCACCGAGTGGGTGACCCAAAGCGATAGCACCGCCATTAACATTTAACTTGGACATATCCAATCCCAGTTGATCAGCGCAGGCAAGCGTTTGTGCGGCAAATGCTTCATTAATCTGTGACATAAGTATTTAGTTAACATAATTGTTCATATGTATTCATTGAATGTCCTTAAAAAGTTTTACCTCAATCAAATCGATGTCTTCCAATTTTTTACCGCTAACTTTTAATACGTTTTGAATGGCTGGCACTGGACCATAACCCATAATTTCTGGCTTCACACCTACATATGAGTAAGCAACGAGCCGCGCTAACGGTTTTAGATTGTATTCCTTGACAGCTTCTTCTGAAGCAACAATAACAGCAGCAGCACCATCAGATATACCCTGTAAAAAGTTGGCACAGTTAATGCTTGCTAATTCTGGAAATTTTTAACACTTGACTTACCGAAGCAGTGCCAGCGGTTACTACGCCATTTTTCTTGAAAAGCGACGGCAACTTAGTTAATCCTTCAATTGTGGTTTGAGGTCTTGGATGCTCATCAACTATGAAATCCACCTCTTTGCCTTTCACCTTCAATTTAATTGGTGTGATTTCAGCATTAAAAGCTCCTTCCTTCTGTGCCTTTGCCCAGTTTTGCTGCGAGCGCAGTGAAAATTCATCGACGCGCTCTTTCGTAATTTTGAATTGTTCTGCCAAATTTTCAGCAGTCAGTGCCATTGGTAATTTGCAATATGTGTCGGTGAGACCTGCCCACAGCGCATCCTCAAAGTTGTAGTTAGCACCTAATGTGGTGCCGAAGCGGATATTACGTGCTATATATGGCGCTTGCGACATATTCTCAACACCACCAGTGAGTGCTACTTTAGCACTACCCAATAGTATATCCTGTGCGCCATTCACAATAGACTGAAATCCTGAACCGCAAAGACGATTTATGCCCAGAGCTGGCTTTTCAATTGGTACACCGCATTGGAGACCGACGTGGCGTGGCAGGTAAATGCCATCGGTAGACGAGCTCTTTTGAAGATATATTAAATAGAAACAAATTGAAAATTATACAATTTTGAAATGAAATAAATAACACTATCAGGCTAAAGTTGGTAAAGTTGGTTGGCATCTCATTAAGGCTATAAACAATATGTTGAAACCCTTCAAAATTGGTTGAAGAGCTTTCTGGTCGCTTTTTTTGTCCTATTCCTATCATAGCCAAGCTAAATTTTTTTATTTGTGGCCGCAGGAAATGTTAACCCCTCCGAGTGTATTTCTGACATGAAATAAATATACTCATTAAAAACCATCAGCTGTTCGGAGGGGGCTTAGTATAAACTGTAGGTTCCTCCATTTGTTGAAACAAACATTAAGACGCAAAACCACAAATCAGAGAAGGAGCTCGGCCGAAAATCTCTTAAGCGGTTACAAAAGCGCCAATTATATATTATATACTCGAATATATAGATCGATCCGATTTCATTCATCCACTAAAATTTGTTTCAAAACAGTAAACCTCGACAGGGAAGAATGGAAGACTAATTACCGCACTCCGGTTGGCAGCCTGAAAATATACAGGGATGTATCAAAGTTTAAGCAGACTTTTGGCGGTGCTGTATTCTCAAGAGATCCACCTATGGAATTTTCTTTTAAGCTCAACATTTCAATGTCTTTCAGCCGGAAATATCTGCTATGATAGAGGCGACAAAGGAAATCGGGGATGTGGGTGCATTGTCATAGGGACATCGAGGAACGCAAAGCCGGATGAAGGTGCGCGACAGGGTACAATTAAACAGATTAATATCAAGCTGCTTCTTAAGGAGCTAGCTACAACCTGCCGCAAACCCAGGCAAACAATGCTAAATGGGATAGAAAAAGATCATGAGAAATTTACGCCTTAAAAAGGAAGAATATGTTCAAGGTAGCAGTACTGGCAGGCCACTGTCTGATAGGATAACGTGGAGAGAGACCAGGTGCCCCCTATAGTAAATGATGTTGAAGCTTTAAAGACGATGATGGAGAGTCGGAAATGATCATCTATCTTTTATGCGGCTGCTTTGGGCAGTGGAGCCTTCGAGTTTGTGGACCATACTGCTGGCTTGTCTATCGAAGATAGTAGCCGTCATGGACGCATAGACACCTTTGACAGTCAGGTGTAAGTCAATACAACCATGAAAGACCGTTATAAAAGGCGTAGTCGCCTTACTATGATAAAATAAAAGTCAGTCAGGTTTCAAAACGCCCAAAAATTTAGAGCTTACACAAGAGCACAGATTTTCATTACTTTTAGATACTTTTCTTATTCATTATACTTACCGCAATAACATTTCCAACAATAACAGTGTCAACTTGTTCTCCACGCAAACCAGCAGCATCCAATGCAGCTTTAGCAGCGACCGTTTGTAACTGTGTTTGACCAACATTCTTTAAAGAACCACCGAAGGTACCGAAGGCAGTACGTTTTGCACCAACAATGTAAATTCCTGAAAAATATAATTAATTAAAGACTATAGTAGTGAATTAAATTATTAGGTGGAATGGCTCAGAGGTGAAGTGTAACTAACTCTATATTGTTCTTGAGTTTTGAGTTTTAGGTCTACATTTTCTAACTGGGTTTACTTGAGAGGAACAAAGTTTCACTCAATATAGAATTAACACGTAATAACTTTGGAGCAAATAAACTCCTTTCTCATTAAGTTCCATTGAACACGAATTCTCGAACAAACGTTCCACCCGGCTATATATATAATCCAATTCCAAATATTGGGTTGCCCAAAAAGTAATTGCGGATTTTTTAAAAGNGCAAGGTAAAAGTAACAGCTGATAACTGACAGAAGAAAGAATGCAATTACAGAGTCACAAGCCGTTGAAAATATTTGTCAACGCCGACTATATGAAAACTCCGCAATTACTTTTTGGGCAACCCAATATAATGCCTTTACACGCTGAGTCTGAATTTCTAGTGTAACCAACGCAGCCGATAGAGCATATTACCATAGCAGAGGATTGTGACCAAAACTCAAAATAGTAAATCTCAACCCTTCCGATTGTATTTCTGACGGTACAAAGAAGCTCCTCATAAATCCATCCATCGGTCATTGGAAGACGGCTTAAAATAAATTATAGCTCCCCCATTTGTTGGAAAAATATCGAGATGCACAACAAAAATTTAAGGGGAAATTCGGCCGAAAATTGCTTCAGCTTCGCCAGGAAGAATCACTTTCAGTCGTTCCATACTAAATGAAGTGTCTCTTTATCGTATGACACTTCGTAACAGGAAAATATTGGCAGCTACATAGCTAAACAGAAATGGTATCAGCTTCTATAAATGTGCTAAAAAATGCTGATATCAACGGCCTCAATAATTAAGCGGTTACTTTTGCTTCCTGCAAACTAGATAAAAAAGCGAAGCGAATAGGCTTGGTTGTGAATGAGAACAAGAAGAAATATCTCCGGTCATACAAGTAATAAGTCTATCGAGGAAGACTATATCCGACTTCATAGCACTAACAACATTGTCAGCCTGGAAAGGTAGCTGAATCACTTTAGACTACATAGGCAACTGAAAGGTAAAGTCTTCGCTCGGCGAACAAAACGCAAACTCAACAAACTCTCTTCCTGCTTTATGATGCAAAACAATTTACCAAGAGTCCTCACCAGGAGTTTTCGAGGGAGAGAAGTTTTGCGAATGATTTATGCACTTTTGTGTACTATCGTTGTTGTTGTTGTTGTAGCAGTTCGCTAACCCCGATTAGACACAGGTTTGATCAGTCTAAGTCGCCGAGGTTATCTAATGGTAGGTCCAGGAAACGAGCTGTTTCGATGGGGTTGGACCAGAGGAAGAGGGTGGTTAGATGAGTTGATTTGAGAGGGCATGTGAAGAGGTGGTTAGTGTCGTGTGGAGACACTCCACATGCAGGGCATACGTTGGGTATGCTGGGCGCTAGTCTGGATAAGTAGGAGTTTAACCTGCTACAATATCCAGACCTAAGTTGTGTCAGGGTCTGAACGATAGAACGTTGGTTGGGTTGATGTTGTTGTAGTAACTGTTGACTCTAAACTGTAAACTGTAGATTTTGGGGAATGTTGCTGGAGTAACAATCGATGGGCTTATAAAATCCGTATTCCACTGGTATTCCACTGTTATAAGACTGTCTCAGGAACTATTGGATTTGTTCGCTTCTTATTATAAGCATGCCTTCCTGCGGGTAAATTTTTGAGCGCCTCACCCGCACGGAAGAACGATGACTAGGTCATATTGTCTCGATGGATGAAAGCAGTGATGCAGTACACATCTGTGGTAACAGCGAAAGAAGGTTGCAAGGTAAAACCAGTTGACGTCAAAAGAAAAAAAATAAAAATTAAATATGTAATAACAAAAAAAAAGAATCTACAATTGTTTTCACCAATGTTTGCTTATCTCTTGATGGTATTTAGTTTATGTTTAATTCTCAATACTAAAGTATCTGCTGGATGGCCAAAGTTCAAATAACCAGCGCAACATGTTAACGTCACAAGTTGTTTATAAATAAATACATATGTATGTATATACATATGTATATGTACTTCAACATTTACAGCTATATGTAAACATACATACGTATGTTTGTCGCAATATATGTACATAACAAATCATTTGAGACTCTGACTTGCGATTTCTACAGTCCAAAGTACAATCGTTAAATTTATCAAAACAAAAACACCGGCCCCCACAAACACAAGTATAATTTTATATATATATATGTATATATATAATTTGTTATATATATGCATATATATATAATATATAGATTTATATGTAATTATTTTAATATAATGCTAGAGTGTATATATTTGTGTATGTTGTATATACATAAGCCCTAAAAAACTAGCTCTTCCGTAACTATTCAACAGGGCCCAAGGAGTGCTGGATTGCAGAAATTGGATCAAAAGTCTAAGAAAATTTGCTGGGAAGAAATCGTTGATTACCCCCACTGTTTGTAAGTATATAATTGTATATATGTGTATATATGTGTATATATGTGCACATATGTATCTACTAGCACACACCCACTTGTTGTGCCGCAGAGTACAAAGTCTATGCTCACAATTAAAATAAATTAAATGTAATATTTATTATTAAATACCTTTAGTAACTGCAGACATCTTCGTAACTTATCAGTATTTGGTTCAACAAAACAAAATAATTATATACTATATGTATGTACGAACGTATATGTATGTATGTATAAAAAAAATTTCAAAATAATTTCAGAGCACTAAACTGGTAAAACTGCTCGCGTTGACGGCTTGGCTTGTTATGAGTTTGCCACGACAAGATGAGCACCCGGTTGGTTTCTATTGTTCGGCTTTAATGACGAATTGCATGCATAATATAAAGTACGATAAATGGGAAGCGACAACAATGAGTAATTATTAAAAAAAACACACGACGATCGTCATTCCATTAGGAAATTTTTAAATGTGGGTCTAAAAATTATGTGGTTAAATTTTAATATTTTCCAACAATTTTGTTTAATTACACACGTATGTGTGTATATACATATGTAAATTCTCAACGAAACCAGTTATTTATTTAGTTTATTTTATGCTGTACTGACCGTCGAAGAGACGACGATTTGCCAGACTTTATATTGGGATTAATTCGAAGTATTGGAATTTTATTTTGAAATAATCCCTAATTATTATATTATGATGGGGACATGTGTAGAAGTTCAAGTGGGTGAATATTTCGACTGAATTTCAGTTGGGAGTGACCTGAAACAAATCTTTGGGTAGACAACAAACATCCGATTGGAAACCAGCTAAAGTGAGAAGACAAATCCAATGCGGTTGTGCGTAGGATCTAAGACAAACTACATCAAAAATATACTCCACTGAAAAATTTAAACAAGCCTCGGATGATTATGGCGCCAAGGCTTTAAGGTCACGATTTGAGAGCATGCACCTGGAGGTGAAACTCCCAGCTAGTTGATGTTCTCGTAAGATTAAAGAATTGCAATGGGAGGGCAAGGATGGAAGAATGTAGGCCATATAGAGGAGCGCAAATTTGTTGTTCGATTTGTGGTTGGAGAGAGATTCCGTCGCCAAGTATTGACATTCACTCCGCATAAAAGCGAAATTTTTCACCAATCACTGATTTCCGCTCCGATGTCGAATTTGTGTTTGGTTACTTTAACAATGATAGATGGGAAGAAAGTATTTTTGCATCACCAACCAACTGAAATACGGTCGTCTGCAGTACTAGATTCCTCCACAGGAAAATTCGTCAAGCTGTCGCTGTTGTGTTTTTCGAAAATTTTACGAAGAGATACGTCAACTTACAGAAGGTTTCAAGATCGAAGCAAACTCTTGTTATACTGAATTTATATAGGAAACACTTCTTTGGCCTGCCGTATGGTAATGAAAATGGCGACGACGATGGAATATATGTTTCATTGACCGATTACGAAAACTTCCAAATAGCAATTGCCTGCTTGACTCGTACGGTCTAGAAATTTAAGATTTTCCTTGTCGTAAGAGCCGACTTCAAAGTTCCCGCGGCGGTTGATTCTTTATACCGGAAGAACTCGGATTTGTATTCGGCTCGGTGGCTCTAAGAGACCTCTGTCCAATTCACAAAAAGAGGGTTCCCACAGTCTGCGCCAATATCGTGGGATAAGCCTCCTCAATAGCGAGTGGACCTTATCAGTAAAGATTTAGACCATTGACCAGATATGAACCGTACGCCAGATTTTGGAAAATACCAGTGAGAAAAAAATTTATACAAAATAAGGAACTTCTTCTAGATCGATATGCTTGAATTTGTTATCCCTGCAAAATGTATCGGCTGTGTAAACTTAGCTGCGGAGCTAAATGAAAAGGGTACAATTTTTTACAAGAGTGTAAAACTGCTTTCTCCAGGTTTGATAAAGAAGCGAAACAAACGGGTCTGGTAGTGGACGAGACGAAAAATCTCCAGGATCAGGTGGAGAGCGACCTGACTTTACTTGGTACTTCTAACTGGCCAATTACTAAATAAGGAGAACGAATGGCACGCTATCTTTGTTTCGTCCATAATCTCCTCAGACGAATAAGAAGAAGAACAACAACTCTGCTCTGTTCAGTGGGAAATGTTGATAAGAAATAGCCAGTAACGAAATTGAGAGTAAGATTGTTTTCTTCCATAGAGAGAAATGTACTGAGTTTTCACCGAACCGATTAATTAAAAATTATCCAGCAAATTGTATGACAACTGTTCATTTTAGCGGTTATTTAATCTAACTATTTATTTGAATCCTCGATGTCATTAAAATAAATTAGAAATATTCAGTTTTTTTTTAATTGTGGTATCATTCATTTTCATTTTAAATAAATATTTTTTGTGGACAAAAATGCAACCATATGATCACATATCAGCTGTAGGTCATACTTACTGGCTGAAATTTTCCAATCACGAATTTATACTTTCTTTTCAAACTATACGTAAAATTACGCTCTCTCGTTACTAAAATAGTTTTAATGGGTTTTTGGCTCAACGAGCACGATTTAGTAAAGTTCACTAAAAATTGCTACTGCCCATCTAGTCGCCGAACAGAGCGAATAACAAATATGTCAGAACTTTAATAAACGTTCTCTGGTTTAATCGAAGAACGTATATTAATAATTAAATAATTACTATACGATCGTTGATTGAACTGTTTATTGTGAATCGCATATATGTCTGATAATCACAATAATATATTTGCTTAATCCAATGATTAATTATATTAAATTAATTAATTAAAAACACTACTACAAAAGTAATATAATGCATTTTCTCTGTCACAGATTCAAATTAACAACATATATAAAAAATTTTTTATCAAATAACAAAAATCGATTTAATTTCTTTCAAAACGCTGTTGAAAAGTTATTTTCATGGTGATTTATTCAAATTTTATACGAATGTATATTTTTAACTTTATAATTGATATTCGTAATTTTGTTTGAATTCAAAATGTTTCAATTTAATATTTTTCCAAATGCAACCGTGCTTGCCGCGATTTTTTTGCGCCACCGCCATGAAAAAGAAGAAGCGTTTCAGCCAGCAAAAGCGGCAGAATTTAGTTCTGCTGGAAAGTGATGTGCTTGGAAAATTACTTGGAGTTGTGAAAATAAAACTAAAAAAGTATATTTACCATCAGTTGTATAGGTTTTGAATTGCATTATTAGTTTAAATCAACTAAAATGTCCACAGTTGGCGAATTGAAGACGGGTGATAATGTTGCAGAGGTTGAAGTTAAGCCCCCGCCAGTGAAAACCACGAGTCTCGCCAGTGATTTGCGACAATTTCGTCTAAACAAATCGGCAAATCCTGCAATCAATAAAACAGGTGAGAACAGCTGATGAAATAAATATATCAATTATAGAAGTTATTAAAATGTGCCCAAATTAAGATTAGAGCTGCTTTGATACATTTGTTTGTATTCCAGAACGTGTGCCAGGTAAAAAACGAATACAGGTAATGGCGGACAGTGACAGTGATGGTGCACCTGACAATCAGTCGCCAAAAAAAGTTAAATTAGAGTTAACAGTGAAGGAAAAAGAAGAACGTTATTTAGCTGCTGTGAAAATATCGCCGGATTATGATGCTATGGTAAAGACAAGATTACTAATTTCCGAAAATTTTATATGTATATTTATTATTTTTTAGGATATACAAGATGCATTAGTGCGTAACGGCTGGAACGTTTCCGAATCATTGCGATATTTAAAGGACAATTTTAAGCCAAAACATTCTACAAATAAAACTACTCTAGCAAATATTGCCCGTGGTAGCAGTAAGCCCACACAAAATGGCAGTTCTTCTCGCTCAAAAGCACAATCACAAAATTATTCGGACTGTGAGGACTCAGATGACGAGGTACGGGCATCCACCGATCAAGTATACGATAGTGAAGAGAGCGATACTGAAGCTTCTAATGTAATGACAGGACAAAGAAAAAAAGTTTTTGATTTTATGAACAAAGCAACGCTTATAGAATTACAAACGGTTAAAACTTTGTCGGAAAAGAAAGCAAATTTAATTATGGAAATACGTCCTTTCAAAGACTGGAAAGATTTACTTAAAAAATTAGAGTCAAATAAGGCTCTCTCAGCTGATGTATTAAATATGGCACAGGAATTGATAAACAAACAAAATAATGTGGCTAGTATACTGGAAAAATGCAACAAAATGGTGAAGCGTTTAGAGGCAGCAATCGAAACTGGTGCAGGCATAGTAGAGCAACCGAAAATCCTCAATGACAAGTAAGTTAATAATATTCATTAAAAACAGTTTTGTATATCTATTAAATACAATTTAGAATGAAACTAGCTGACTACCAAATTATTGGCCTCAATTGGTTAACGGTAATGCATAACCAAAAAATGAATGGCATTCTAGCAGATGAAATGGGTCTTGGAAAAACTATACAGGTTATTGCTTTTCTGGCATATCTCAAAGAGAATAGTTTAGCTAAAGGCGCACATTTAATTGTTGTGCCTTCATCTACGTTGGATAACTGGGAGGCTGAAATAAGCAAATGGTGTCCGAGTTTGGTTGTTGAAAAATATCATGGCGCACAAGATGAACGAAGACGCATGCGCGTGCGTTATGCTAGAGATGGCTTTACTGGTTTTGATGTATTACTGACAACGTGAGTTTGACATTAAATTTTTACCATATTAATTATTACATTTTTTTTTTTTTAATATTAAAATGCTTTTTCTCAGTTACCACATCGTGAGTTCCACACCAGAAGAATGTAAAATGTTTCGTGTTTGCAAACTGCATTATGTGATTTTTGATGAGGCGCATATGTTGAAAAATATGACAACGCAACGATATGCAAATTTAATCAAAATAAATGCGGAAATGCGCATTTTACTTACTGGTACTCCGTTACAAAATAATTTACTCGAATTAATGTCACTACTGTGTTTTGTGATGCCATCATTCTTCTCCAAAAGTATTGAGGATATTAAAAGTCTTTTCGCTAAGGTAAGTAAAATACATATACACATATATGTATGTATACACAAAAGTGCCATGAAATGTTTTTATTGCATGTGGTTTCTGATAATAAAAAATCATTAATTGACTTATAGAAAGGTAAGACGGAGACCGCAAGTAAAGACGTCTCACAGTTCCAGGAAACACAAGTGGAACGCGCAAAGCGTATTATGAAGCCGTTTGTGCTAAGACGTCTCAAAAAAGACGTACTTAATAATTTGCCGAAAAAAGAGTCTGTTATTGTAAGTAAAAATGAGTTTGAAATTTGATGCGGTATTCATATATACATATATAATTATATATATTTTATATTTTAGGTTAAAGTTCCATTAACTGATACACAAAAACAAAACTATCATGAATTAGTTGACTACTATTCAAATAGGAAGGGCGAAATTTGTAGTGGCGACCGGGCAGGTACCACAATAATGATGGAAATGCGAAAAGTTGCCAATCACCCGCTTTTAATGCGTTACTATTTCAGTGACGAGACCTTACATGATCTTTCTGAGCGTTTAGCCTGTGCGCCGACTTTAAAAAAATCCAATCCACAATATATATTTGAGGAGTTAGCCGTTATGTCGGACTTTCAAGTGATGCAATTATGTAATAAGCATGTATGTGGATAGCGATATTTGAAATTTTTCATTAATCTTATATTTACATGAATTCATTCAATCTGCAGGATCTATACGATGTAACAATACCCAACGAACTAATCTGTAATTCGGGGAAATTTAAGTATTTGGATACATTATTGCCTAAATTGAAAACAGAGGGTCATCGCGTTTTAATATTCAGTCAGTTTACAATGATGTTAGATATCATGGAACATTATTTGAAGATAAAAAAATTCGGCTATTTTCGTTTGGATGGCTCAACGGCCGTAGATGAACGTCAAGATATGATTAACGATTTTAACGCCGACTCTGGTATATTTATATTTTTGCTTTCTACGAAAGCTGGTGGTGTGGGCATAAATCTGACGGCAGCCGATACATGTATCATACATGATATCGATTTCAACCCATACAACGATAAACAAGCTGAGGATCGTTGTCATCGTATGGGACAGACACGTCCAGTAACCATATATCGATTGATTGCTGAAAGTACAATTGAGGAGGGTATGCAAATGGTGGCCGAAGAGAAGCTGAAATTGGAAAAAGAAATCACTTCGACTGAGAAAGGCGAAGTACAAGAGCAGAAATGCGTTGTAAGGCTACTCACCATGGCGCTGGGTCTCGATAAAGATGAAGAGGAGCGCCTAAATAACTCCATGAACAGCTCATTAACTTCCCAGTAAAGTGGCGGAGCACTTTAATTCCATGCAAAAAAAAAAAAATAGAAAAAACAAATAAGTAAAAATTAAGAGAATGTAATGTTTGATGGTCATTTATTTTAATTTTTAAAGTTTAATTGTTTGATTTTTATATGATATGTTGCGCACAGCTATTAATCACATTCCTAAAGAGTTCCGTGTTTATATAGACATACAGACAATGTTGCTACGCTGTTCCCAAAAAAATGAGCAATGCATCTTTATTATATTGTAATGCGCAAAGTTAAAATATTTTCAAATCAATATTTATATAAATACATTGCTTGATATGTTTCAATAGGGGTGTGACTACTAAAAAGTGATGACAAGAAATAATAATTATTGTTATAAGTGTGCAACTAATATACAGACATACATACATATACAAAAACCGCCCGATTTTCTCTTATTTTAATTTAAATCTATAAATTTTAGTTTCAATATTTCTTGCATAAATCATTTATTTTTATTTATTCAAAACTATTTTATTTGTACTATTTTTAACAAATTTTCATTTAAATTCACGGAATTTCATATACTCATTGCGGCAGTAATTGAGGCGCAATTTGTGCTAATTAAAAATAATAATAATAAAAGGAAATAATGATATCATAACATACAAGATTAACTTATTAAAGAAAAGTAAACACATATTTATAAAAAAAACGTAATAAAATTTGAACTCAAATAGTCCACTAAAAAAACTGTTTTATTATGGCTGTACACTGCCAGTTCTGTGCTTTGGCCCCCTATCATGAGTTTGATATAATATTTCAAAAAGACAATAAAGGAGACCTCGCTTTTCTATTACTGTCAGGTGAAATCGTAGAATTGAAGCCATTGTCTCAATTCTACAAGGCTTAAAAAACTCTCACAAAATACATGTACTAGACACAACAAATAATGTTAAGAAGATTAATAGCAAAAGCATTAACTATACTATTCATTCCTTTATGGATTTAAAAGAAGGCACGCACTTTCCAAATGTCGCGCTTAAGAATGTAGGGAACGTTCTGAATATTCCACTGTCTTGAAATATTCAGTAAAGCGTTACATTTCATATAATTGTAGTGCTGTTCTTCTCTCTTTGTAGAATTATATTTTTAATTCTCTGGGAATTTTAAAAATCAATTTAATAAAAAGTCCTTTTCGTTGAGCTCATGGTCGATTACCAATATTCTCACACCCATTTGTGTTGAAAAGTGCGTATACGTAACATTTTTGTACAACAAATACGAGTACACTGCGTATACGTAATTAAACTGGTTGGAATTTTACGACTTTTTCATCTTCGTTTCTCATATTTTACCTGTTTTACCTTATTATTACTATGTATTATAGCTGTCATGCGGTTCAAAATTTATTGGCTTATTTAAGATTTAACGTTCCTTGTCTTCGCTGTTTGGCGCCTGTTAGAAATACCAAGTGAAACCAGGTCCGTATTCACCGGATCCGGCTGCTGAATCGAATACTTTCAAAGCTTAGAGGCTTTTATCCATTCGCACGACATATCCAAGCCAGCGTAGCCGCTAACCACACTTCCGTGCCGTATAGTAGGACGGGTAGTATGAGCGACTTGTAGAGTTTGGTTTTGTTTTGTCGAGAGAAGACTTTACTATTCAACTGCCTACTCAGTCCAAAGTAGCACCTGTTAGCAAGAATCATTCTGTGTCGGATTTCAAGACTCACTTTATTAATGGTGTTAATGTTGGTTCCTAGATACACGAAGTTATGATTGTTAACAATGACGAGGGACCCAAAAAGACTGCGAAATTCTCTAATTGCGGTCGTCCCTCTGCAGGGAATGTCGACCCCTCCGAGTGTATTTCTGACATGAAGTAAAGGCTCCTCATAAAAAACCATCAGCGTTCGGAGGCGGACGCTAAACCACAAATTGGAGCAGGAGCTCAGTCAAAAATCGCTTCAGCTGTTACAAAGCGCCAATTTCATATATATTTATATATCAACTTGAAGAAATCAACGATAAAAAGTCAACTTTATCTGAAACTGGAGAGGAATACGAAATTCACGGATAGTGGCGTAGAAGGAGCTCTTTACTGCGATGTCGAAGGCGGTTGTTGGCGATGGGCTTTAGTCTTTCACACAATTCACTAGATAAAATGTAATATGCGATATTCATGATGTTAGTCCAGCGGTAATTGGTGCGGACCGTCTCCCTTTCATGGATTGGGTAGATCATATTCAAGTTCCAATCTTCGGGTGCGCTTTCGTCCGACGATATTCTGTAAAAAAGTTGATGCATGTTTGAATAGTTCTTCCCGCGTGGGCCGTCAGCCCCAGTCGCTTTGTTATTTTTTAAGTGAGCGATTACTATTCGGACTTCTTCATAGTCATGCAACGGAACAACTTTTCCATCGTCATCAATTGGAGTTTCGGGTTCATCATCTCCAGCTGGAGAAGTCTTCCCTCCATACGTTCAGTATACTCTGAGCATCCGTCACAAGAATTCGAAACCTTGTGTAAGTCGTCATATCTTTTCGTAGAATTTTCGAGCATTAACCTTGTCGGCCAGCTTCTCAAGCTCTTCAAACTCACGATCTGGCAATGTGTAGAAGTTAAGGAAAGTGAGGAACGTTTTTGACTGTCAATCCACTGGGAGTGGCCAGAAATGAATCTTTGATATATGGTGAAGGCGACTCCCAGTCTTAGAGCAAGCGTCCTCTGGGTAAGAAACATCCGTTTGGAGGCAAACTAAAGTGAGTAGGCGAATCCCCTGCGGCTATGCCTAGGGTTTAGAAAACTCCACATAAAAAATATACTCCAATTAAAAGTTAAAGCAAGTCTCGGATGAGAGCCCTCCCTTTTGGTGATGACGCAAATATTTAAAGTTCAAGATTTGAAGGCCTGCACCTGGAATGAGAGAAGTTAGATGCTTGTGAAATCTTCTAATAGCGGTCATATGAAGCAGATTCCTGCGAGTCATGAGTTTTGCCATCCCCTGATTGGACAAGATAGCCACGCGTATGAGTGTTGCATTCGCACTCGGCTTCCACGTCATTGTTGACAGTCTTAATTTTGAAGTCGCAGAAACTTCGTCTATCTTGGAACCAGTATTAAAACCAACAACAATGTCAGTCTAGAAATTCAGAACAGAATCAATCATTTCGACAGGGGCCACTTTCGACTAAGCAGGCAATTGAAGTCCTCTCTCGACCAACAAAGATCAAACTCTACAAGTCGCTAATCATTATGACAACATCTGATGTGTCGGCGTTAGAAGTTTTCGAGAGAAAGGTTTGGCGTAGGAGTTAAAGTTATCTGCGCCTATGGAACGATGAGCTGTATGAGTTAAACGGCCATAATGGCAAAGTTCAACAAATTGAAAAACAGCGGCGATGCTGGTTAGGTTGTTGTTGTTGTTGTTGTAACCGCAAAATTATTCCCCAAAGTACTTTTTGGGGAATGTTGCGGTAGTGACAGTCCTTGGCCGGATAAAACTCCGGGTCGTTCCGGCATGCCTTACCGCGGGTAAATTCTTGAGCCCCTAACCCGCAGGGGTTATGTCATAAGGTCCGGTTGAATAAGAATTCTTTAGGATTGAAAGTTTTCGATTAAATACCCGGCCAGGAAAGATGAAGACCTCCACTCCGTTGGAAGGATCAAGTGGAGAGTGAGCTGGTTTCATTTGGTATTTCCAACTGGCGCCAAATAGCGAAAAGAAGCGATGAAAGGTACACTGCTGTTGTTAAATGGGTTATAAATGGCGTAAGCGTTGTCAGTAAAAAACAACACTTCTACACAGAATTTTTCGCTTTGAACGAATCTTTGAAGTTTCGTTCAAAATTCAGCCAAGCTTCAACTGTGCGGCTGATGCATTTTGATATCAAAAATTTTGTTCATACCGAATTTACTCTATCTTTCTTCCTTTAGCTTTATATTTATCGATATAAATACACTAAAACTTTGTACATACACGCACATACAAAGGCATAACTTAATTTATCAGCTGGCGCGCTTTTATAGCTAAAACAAAGCTTGGGCGCGTCAATATTTTATAATAATATACAAACGTACGTATCACATACACGTACTTGTAATATGCACATATCATTTTTTAAACACATTTATGTGCATACATTCATACATACATAGATACATACGTACATATGTACATTTGTTTGTTCGTAGAATTATGAATTTTTGACTCACTTTGGATACGGCAAATGATTAGTTCATGTGTACATATATATGTACATATACACGAGTATATATGTATGTCTGTACGAGAATATATGTGAATTATAATTGCTGCCTGCCATTCATGGCTCACCAAGGCGGTGTCGGCATCGGCATTAGCTATAGAGCGGACGCTTATGTCATTGTTAGCGGCGAATTGTGTGATCGCATGCGTTTGCGCGATCATTTCTCACTCTCGTGAGAACGATTAATAAAAGAATGCCTCACCAGCCAGGCAACGAGCCAACCAGCCAACCAGCCAGCCAGCCATGGCAGTGAAAAGTCAGCACCAATATATGGATGTGAAAGAGGTTGAGGCAGAAAATTGACGAAACAGAGTCTCTCTCTCTCTGAGTTGGCAGTCAGTGATGTTCACAGCGAAAATTCTATCGTCAGTCTTTCTCTGATCGCCCCGATGATTTAATTTAAGCTATAAGTTAACGCACTGTTTGTTCTGTAATTCCCACGCGAAGTGAATTGTCTTGGACAATCTAATGCAATTGAAAGTTACATGCATACATATGTACATATATGATTACTAATAAAAAAGAAATTATATACATAAATATAAAAAAAAAAAGAATTGCAATAAACGAGTTTGGAAGCTACCGTAAAGTAGTTCAAATTACGAGTTAACGAAATAAAAATTTGAAATTAGCTGAAACGAATCACAATAGTTACATATTGTACATACATACACGTATGTACATGTAGTGTAATTATAAAGAAATACGTAAATATAAAACGGTAGAGTGAAAAATATAAAATTTAATTTAAAAAAATATATATATATGAAAAAATTCAAGCTAAAAATATAATACATCTTACTAAATAACCAAAAATTTAAAATCTATACATATGTGTGTATATGTGTAAGTATGTGCTGTGGCGTACTCATAGTTTGAAAACGAATCTTTTTTTTTATTATAAGCAACGCAGTGATTCATGCTGGTGCTCGAAATAGTCGATTAACGAAGAAAAGAAGATACACTGAAGAAATTTGCATGCTTTTTCTACAAACAAACATACATACATACATATCTGCAAAGATTTTATGAAAGAAAATTTGGGGAAAAAATGGTATAAAAATGAATAAATAAAAGTTGCCCAAGAGCGTAATCGTATGAAAAGTTTAACGACTTTGAGTACGCTTTTATGAATTTATCTCAACATATGCATATACATACTTTTGTACATACGGAAAGGGTGGTTTTTAGGCGTGTGATTTTCAATGAGGGCATACCTTTTTCCGGAATTGGGCTTTTTGACAGCTGTTACTGGATTTATACTCAGCTTGGCTTACCATTTCATAATAAAGAGAGACTCATTCCGTAAAAACGTTTGCAAATCGTGGAAAGTTTTTCACAAAATAATCATTCGTTATTTCTGCTATGGAGCAAAGTATCAAAGCGGACCCTAGTGAGTCCATTCGTCAATAGCACGCAATAATTAGAACTGTGTCCATTCACTTTATATCAGATTTTGCGGTAAGATCTAGATTTTTTTTGCTTGCAAAATCCAACTACATCAAGAATTATTATTCACCATACACCAGGAGTTGTTGACTGACTCCTTCAAAGACTCCCTCCTCTTGAATGGCGTGCTCGCAGGCCATCTGTCGCAGGCAACGAGCTCCAGTTGCCTCGAGAGACCCGCGTGATACTGGCACAACTTAGGTCTGCAGCATACTGTAGTAGGTTAAGCTTCTACCTATCCAGACTTGACCCCCACATATACTCAACCTGTGCCCAGCATGTGGAGTGTCTCCACACAATACTAACCACCTCTTCACATGCCCTCTTAAGATGACACGTCTAACACCCCTCTCCCACTCGCGTCGAAATAGCGCGTTTCTTGGAACTCCCGTTAGATGGTCACGGTGACTTAGATTGATTTTAAATCTGTTCTTAAGCGGGGTTAACGTAGCCGCCACAAAACCAACAACAACAACTTTTTCATATCTGAATTGAAAGCTGTTGATATGGACGACCTTGGGTTCCCACAAGACGGCGCTACATACCATACAGCAAACCAAAACAATCTATTGATTTAAGGAATTTTTTGGTTAGCGCCATTATTTTGCGTCATGGCAAGATCATGCGATTGTCTATACAGTCATGCCTGCGACGATTGACGCACTGGAAGAAAATATTCGGTGCGTTATGGCTGCAAAAAGTGGTCGAAAGTTGGAGACAGTCGTGGCAATCACTCGCGAAATTATTAAATTATCACATGTCTAAAAAAAAACACCCTTTATTTGCAATATGAATAACTGTATAACACAAATTTAACATAAAATACTGGCATAGATATTTATGTACATATGTACATACATTCATATGTGTTTTGGAAAAACTCGAACCAAAAAAGAAAAACAAAGCACATACTTATAATAACATACATACATACATACGTACAGCGATAATAATTAGTTGAAAAGTGTGAAAATCATTTAACAATTGAATTTAGCGCAAAATAAAAGTAAAAATAAAAATAAAAATCAAAATAAATAAAAACAGCTCAAAACAAAAGTAAAAATTTTTACAGCCAAACAAAAATTAAAAGAAAAAAAAAATCAACTGAAAAACTGTTAAATTTGGCATACAGAGAAAACTCATCAACCAACGAACGGAAGAGATATCCGTAGAGTACTCGAAAACGATCTGGTGGGTCACAGATAAAAAGCAACGACTAACGACAAACACACATACATACATAACAATATTTATGTACGTATAGCCAATTGTACAGCGCAGGAAGAAATCGGCACTACAAGCACTAGCAATAGAAACATACATACATACATACATATATATATACGTATGTATGTAAATATATACAATACAAAAGACGAAACTGCAGAATATTCAACTAAATGTCGAGAAAAGCAAAGAACTGAGAACTGAACGAAGCAAAAATCTATTTTTGTGTTTTCATAATACCCGAAGTTCGGACACGCCAAAAAAAAAAAATAAAAAATATCTAAATACAACAAAATATTTAATGCAACAACAAAATATTGAGTGCAGAATGAAAACAAAAGCAAAAAAAACAATAATACAATAATAGTGAAAAAAGCGTGCAAGGAAACAGAAAGCTTTAAAGAAAAAAGTATATACATACATATACATATGTATATAATTAAATAGCACACTCATAGTTTTCACGAGTATTTAGCAACGACGCACACGCCTTGAGCAGAATTTACGAAATAATCTTTAAGGCAGCAAAAAAAATATAAATATTCTTACTTGGTGCGAACACCATACAGTTCTCAGGCTTACGATCAATAATTAAGAAATAATAATTTTAAATTAATAATTTATAACCAAAATAAAAAAAAAATCTAAATTAAATATTTGAAAATATTTAAAGCAAAAGAACAATTGAAAACAAAGTAAAAAAAAATTAAAAGTATACGCACTTTCGGTAGTATTCCATCAGGAAAATTCTATTCGCACTTCTTCCGGTGCGAACACGATCAAAAACGAACGAATGTAAGTACAGAAATGCAAAACGTCATGCGGTTATAAAACTATGAATATAGAACAACAAATATAAATAAATAAATACGATTAGAAAAACTTAATATTTCTTCTTAGCGTCTGTGAAAAGTCTTTATTTAAAACCAGAAGTTTCGGAAACTTTTTATCTAGTTAATTATCAGGTGCACAACTTTTCTACCGCCGTTTTTTTTCCAAAATTAAAAGCTTTATTGCGAAAAAGTGCTTACAACTATATTATTTAAAGTATTGTCCTACGCTAGTGACAACTTGCTCCCATCTTTCCGGCAATTTTCGTATGCCGGCTCGAAAAAAGGAGTCCTCTTTTGACGCTATCCATGAAGCAATCCATTTTTCCAATTCTTCGAAGGATTGAAAATGTTGATCTGCCATCGAACGGAATAGGTGAAAGTCAGAAGGGGCGACATCTAGGGAATACGGCGAGTGGGGCAAGACTTCCCCTTTCAGCGTTTCCAGGTACTTTTTGACCACTTTTGCGACGTGAGGCCGAGCATTGTCGTGTTGGAGGATGACTTTGTCATGTCGCTCTTCATATTGTGGCCGCTTTTCTTTTAGCGCGCGACTAAGGCGCATCAGTTGCGTTCGGTAGCGATCTCCTGTGTTGGTTTCAGCCGGTTTTAAGAGCTCGTAGTAAATCACACCGAGCTGATCCCACCAAATACAAATCATAACCTTGGCGCCGTGAATATTCGGTTTTGCCTTCGACGAAGAAGTATGCCCGGGCTTCTCCCATGATTTTCTGCGTTTAGGATTATCGTATCGAACCCACTTTTCATCACCGTAAGTTTCTGAGAGCATTCGATGCGCTTCAGCTGCATTTTTTTTTTAAAAGTAAAACTTCCCGCAAATGGCGAGAATTAGGCACACAAACGGACATTTTCGAGCGTGAATAATACGAAAACAAGAACAACTGTCACTGAAACGGCGATGACAATTCGTTAGGCACTGTCCACACTCACTTTAAAGGCATTATCATCTATGTATTTCAACCAGCCTTAGCCTGTACAGCCACTTATCGGAAAACGGCGGAAGCAAAGTTGTACACCTGATATATATTTAGTCCTTTGGTTGTAAAGAAGGGCAGTTACAACGTTGGCCTTGAAAAGACTGGCAGATCCTTACTTTGAATACGTGTTCGGCTTGCTGGGCTGGACAAAACATTCGCTAGGTGATTCGGAAAATTTTGCACCTTCCAAAGGCATTTGTCACTACTGTGTTTACGATTGGCCTCTATGTCTCGATGTTAAACGATTCTTGTTGGTCTATACCACGGCGAGACTTATATACTTTTTTGTTTGACATTTGTTTTTATTTATTGAATTTGCTTCAATATGAGAAGCCTCAACATAAATTTTCAAATCTTAAAACTAAATTAAAATATAATAGCCTATCGGTTAGGCAGGGGTTACTGGTTCAGTGTCGCTCTTTAGAAGGAGGGTAAGTCCCTTCTCTTTAGGCGCGTTTGACTTGTTGCGGCGGCCACGGCGATAGCCAAAGGGTTCGGATGATTGTACAGTTTTGCTATGTGTTTTTGTGTAACGATTTCTATCTCCACTCTGATTGTGCGTATATTGAGATCTTTATGAATGTTTTTATTACGCGCCTGTTATTATTTTCAATGTTTTCGACTGAAACCTTTGTATTCTAGATATAGATTGTCGCGCAAGCTGTACCTCATAACTGGTTTCCAAGCATCCATATTCGTTTTATAGTCGCATTATAAAGAAGGACTTTGTTTTCAAGGTTGAGCCCAAATTTCTTGCTTAGAAGCCAATATAAATTGGATATTTTAAGAAGCTCCAGCTGCATCTTGTTGGCAGAAATATGTCGTCTCCAAGATAACTGTCTATACAAGTGAATGCCAAGGTATGTGATTTCTTTAGCTGGTGGGATAGGCACAATGTTGAGCTTGACGATAAGACACATTTTTGGCCTTAATGTAAGGGTTATGTGCTTGCACTTATTTTCATGAATTTACTCATAATTGTATTCCATACATACCGTTTGGTTTTATGACCGAGTTATAAAAAGAATTTTGTAATTCAAGCAAGAGCGAAATTTTTGTCCAATAGCCAATTTAGGCTGGCGTTCTTAGTTTTAATTTACTGTATTTTAGCAGAAACATGGCTCTTCCAAGACAATCGCCAAACTAGGTGGATGTCAAGTTTCACTTGCATGGTGCATCATTACGTCGTTTAGCTTTAGTTTTGGGCATGTTTCCGTCTTTAGAGGGAATGTGATATCCCTATACTGACAAACGACTTCCAACGAGTTTTAAGTGGTTTTCGAGTATTTCTATCCTCTTCTTCTCTTCGAGTTGTCTGCTGTAAATAAGACACACAGCATTAACCTCAAAACACAACCCCGAGAAGCACTAGCCATAATTTAATACTCCTCTGGCATAAAATTCTTAATATAATGTTTTCTTCCCAATATTAACTTCGGCAAAAAGCTCTCTATGTTCAAAATTTCAAGCAGAAGAAAAATAGTAGAATCGAAACAACTTTTTGATGGGTCCTTCCTTCATCCTCCAAATTCTTTACTTTGCGAATGTCTACGTCATATATAGAATACGCCCACCAAGTTACATGTCTCTACGATTAACAGTTTAGGCTGTATTCAACTGACGTTAGTCTATTAGTTACCTTCCTTATATATATATATATATATATATATATTGAAGGTGATCATATATATAATTGGCGCTTTTTAACCGCTGGAGCACTTTTCGGCCGAGCTTCTTCTCCAATTTGTGGTTTTGCGTCTTGATGTTTTTTCCAACGAATGGATGGACCTACAGTTTATGCTAAGCCGCCTCTGAACGGCCGTTGGATTTTTATGAGGAGCCTTTATTAAAAAGTCAGAAATTAACTCGGAGGGGTGATCACAATTTGAAAATTTTATATAACTTTTGGTCGTACCAGGACTTGAACCCTGGCTTTTATGGCAGTTAAGATCTCACACAAATGCTTTTAAAGTGCGATGTTACTACTGAAATTGTCTTTCCCTTTGACAGTGTCATAAAAGTGCAATAAAAGCATTTTCTCAAACAAATTGTGGTCTCCATATTTTATTGGTAAAAATTACGCGGCATAATAAACATTTTTTTAATTTACTTAAGTTTTAGTAAAATCTAGATAATTTCGATTTTCTCCAAAGCTTCTCCTTATAAATGTAGCTTACATTTTATTTGAAATTTTTCCAAAGTTGCCGAGTCGAGTCTACCCCGAACTAGCGAATGTAAATTTTTTGCGAGATGAAAAATTTGATACTTGTAATCAATCCATTTCTCTATTAATTCCTCAATCGTATTTTATGAATCGAACACAGAATCGAAGGAAAATATTTATGACATGCATATTTGATGAGGTCAAAGTAGGTATTGATAGAACAATAAGTCCTGAGATGTGTAAGACTAAAATATTCTATGCGTTGTGTGGATGACTTTTGGCTATATAAATATATCTCATATTATGCATTTGATAATTTTGTAAATCTTATGAAACTTTTAAAATTTTCATAACTAATTGACTCGTATCCTAAGATGAGTATATATGTATACAAGAATTGAGACAATTTTCTTTTAAATATCCGACAACTTATTGTACTTGCAAAGCAATTCAAACGCTTTCAGACGGTAAGTGTTTGTCCATAAGTCGCGTCGTCATATTTTAAACCTTCTGGTGCCACTACTTCCCTTCATGTAGACCAACGTGATCTTTTCTGTAACTTCCCTCCTCTGAACGCTCCCTAAGTCAGCTGTTGAAGGGGATACCACTATAATTTCAGGAAATATTAGTGCCAAAAAGATAGTTCTCTGCCCTTTATCTCTCTGCTCTCTATATTAATTTTCACAGCACCTAAGTTGATTTAAGTGCTGAACATATTTTAGAGGATAGTAGCAGCTTTTAGGAAACAAAAAGCTCATAGATCAGTTCAAAACATATTTGTTTACGCGAGGAGCGTAAATCCTTGCATAACTTTGGGCGCTAGCTAATTGCTTCCTGTTATTTGGGTGTTTGCTTTCTAGCATACGCGTATATGTATGAATGATTGTATGCAAGAATGCAATTCTCAAGTGATCAGCGAAGTAATACGGTTAAAGTCTCCATCCCTGCGTCAGGTGCCTCCTATGGCATTGGGTAAAGACCACGTATTTTTGAAATGAGCCTAGTGCTCAACTTGAATACATTTAACATTCTCCCCCACCCGCTTAGACAATATTTTCGTTTTTTGACATAATTTTTATTCCTAATAAATTTTTAAAAACATTTCATGAACATTTTATATTATTAACTTTGTTCCGAAATATGTAAGTACCAGAAAGAGAACAGCGAAAATTTACATCGAGCGAATCAAAATGACGAGCTAAGTTGTTTTAGTCATGTCCGTCTGTCTATATATTTGAAGGTAAGCTAGTCAAACAATTTTTGAGACATTTCAACCAAACTTGGTACAGTATGAATTGTCGAAACTTTCAGATCGGAGCACCATAGCAAATACCCACACAACCGATTTGTTCAGATATGTGATTTTGAGTCAACGATCGTCATCATATTCTGCACACATATAATTAGTTGCACATTAGTACATAAAATCGTCGGAATCGAACCGATTTGTTGTTCAGATATGTGATTTTGAGTCAAAAAATTTTGAAAAAAATTCATTTCTGATCCTAAAATTTGGTATTCTGAGTCAATATTGGCAAAGAAAATAATGAAAATTGGAAGGCTATATCATATACGCCCTACAACCGATTCATTTAGATATAAGAATTAATAATTAATCTTAAAATGTGATATAACAAATTTGATATGTTCACGAAAGGTTTAAAGACTTCGACAAGGCCGAAACAGTGCTTAATTCTTTAATAAATCTGTAAAATCACACTAGAAAGTTAAAAAGGTATATTAATTAATTATTATTAATTATAAAATATATGCTGAAATGAATTTGGAAGTGTATAAAAGCTA